AGTTCTTGAGTTCGTCTCAAGAAAATTACATTCAAAAGGTTTTAGAACAATTTCGTATGCAAAACTCCAAGCCTATAGACACTCCAATGAAGAAAGGCCTATATCTTAGCATGGAACAATGTCTTAAAACTGAAAAAGAAAACAAACAAATGGTGAGCATACCATACCAAGTGCTGTTGGAAGTTTGATGTACACTATGATAGGTATTCGACCAGACATATGCTTTGTAGTTGGTATGGTTATTAGGTAGCAAAGTAATCTTGGGATTACCCATTGGGCTGCAAACAAAAAGATACTACAGTATCTAAGAGAAACCACTAATTTGGCTTTGTATTATCAAGGTGGAAGTCTAAAATTGGTTAGATATAGTGATGCTGATCTCGTCGATGATAAAGATGATCAAAAGTCTACTTCAGGATATGCTTTTATACTTAGAAGTAGAGCTATCTCTTGGAGTAGGAAAAAACAGCTTTGTACTGCTCTATATATTATAGAAGCAAAGTATGTAGCATGCTGTGCTATAGTACAGGAGTTGGTTTGGTTAAGGAGATTCTTGTAAAGCTTGAACATTACTAGGTATCTTAGTGAAGTTGTTGTACTTTATTATGACAACACAGCTGCCATAACTTAAGTATCATGGAAAAACCAAATACATTGACACTTGCTATCACTACATTCATGACATCATTGCATAAGGTCTTGTTGTGTTGAAGTACATTTCCATAACTGATGTGTTAGTAGACCCATTCACTAACCCTATTGCTAGAAACGCTTTTCAAAAGCATATTAGGGTTTATGGTTATTACACATTTGATATTTATGTACTATTGTTTTTAGAACAATTAATAAATTAAGTTTGTATTGACTTATTTGATCAAATGTTGTTAATTAATTAGGGCACATATCTAAGGTAATTATTATTACTAGGCTTTATAGATTATTCCTCCCACACGGGATAATCACCCCAACACTATGGAAATGTGTGGGATGAGACTTAAATGATCATAAGGTACTAAGTATTTTGTGATCTCCTAGTCACATAAATTGTGAGTAAGGATCTTAGCAATATCACCTTGACTTAGAATTAAGATAAGACTCATAAGAGTTGAGCATGAAGATTATCCACACTCCATAAAGCCAGTGATAACAAAATTTGAATCTTAGGGGATTCAAGTCAATCCTTTTTGTAGGGATTGGACCGAGATCCGTATGGTGGTTTTGACGTGGCAAACCCTAAATGGAAGATCCACCATAATGTAGATTTCATATTATATGTGCTATAAGTCGACCAATAGAAGGGAGTGATTAAATAGATCCCTACTTCATCACTATATGAGCCCTAAGGACTTATGTAGTCCAAATTTTATACCCTTTGGGACTTGGATCTATGATATGAAGTTGAGATTTGTTGTTGCTACTTTAGAATGATTTCCAAAGGTTAAAAATGATGTGCTCTAGCGAAACATGATTAAGAATGCAGTCAAATCTTAATAAATTGACATGAGTATCCAAGGAAGAGCCATCATACATCTCTCATACATGGTCTATAACGCATTGTCTGTGTGGTTATAAAAACATTAGTTATTAGATATAACCATGAGTTTAGACACATAAGAGATTCTACATAGCTATTATATGTAAAAGGGATCAAAGATGTAAAATCTTATGTGATTAAAATGATTTGGGGTATGACAAGAACTCGAGCAGTGTTATGTTAGCAAGATGGTAACTTAATTTCTCATTGCTCACGGATACCTTTGTTTCTTGTTGGTCGCATGTTCCATTTTCCCTATATGACAATGAATGAAAAATGAGTTAAATTGAAAATGGAATAAGTTTATGCCAAAGTGTACAAGTGGGAGATGTTCCATTTAAATGTGGTGTGTTCACATAACATGCAACTTTGTTAATTATCTGTGGATAATTAACAAATATTTAATTAATTAATATTAGATATTATTATGATATTTTTTAATTGAATAATTAAAAAAAACCTTTGATATAAGATATAAATTTAAATTTAATTTGTTTAAATTTAAACAAGAATTAATTACATTTAAATTTAATTTTTTTTAAATTTAAAAGTAATATCCTATCTTTATACCCCTAACATCCCTACAAATAGTGAACAGACGTATTGGTTTTTTTACAAATTAAGAGTGAATGTGAATTATTTTATAAGTCAGAAAAACCAAAAAATCTTTTTTTTTTCTCTTCATTATTGAGGCACCATCAAATGTTAAAGGATTTTGGAATGTGTAATTCCTTATGAAAGACTCTAGTAGTCACTCCATAATGAGAGTGAAGAGATCATTGTGTGCACAAAGGAGGATTTGTAAGAGAAGCTTTTTTGCCAAAAAGAGAGTAGAATATTTATCTGAAAAGATAAGCTCACCTCTCAATAGCAATCATAATCTTTTATAAAAAAATATTAGACATTAAACATAAGCATATAATCAAAAATAACTTGTAAAAAACTTTTCAAAAGAAAAATAAACATCATCAAAATGATCGCGTTCTACCATGCATAAAATATCTCAACTCTATTCATCTCAAATCTAATAATAAAAGGATCTACCAAAGCATTAACTTCTGAAAAAATATACGCAAAGATTATATCCCAATAATTTTCCACAAAGTTTGTTTTTTTATTAAGTAAAAAAAATTTATTAAAAATCAAAGGGTTACAAAACTAACAAAATAGTTAGCAAAGCAAAGAACATAGTTCTATGCAAAATCAAAAACAAAGTGACAAAAGCCACCTTCACAGACTTTATTGAATTAGCTAATCTTGTTAAGATTCAGCAACGAAGTCCTTATTCTTTGTTTTGTTTGCAAAGGGAAGACTAGAAATTTTTAGTAATAGTACAGCCATAGAATCATTTTTTGCATCAAAATGAGCCAAATATTATGTAACATTGACTAGCACAAAGCTTTATCAATTAGTCAACTTTATACAAAAATTTAGTCCAAGTGCTTACCATTCTAAGCAGTGGCCCTTTCTTCCTCTTCCACCTTTGTCATTTTGCTCCACCACCTCTCAATATAGATAAACCTCTTTATCCTACACTTGCACCCGAATTGCAATCTAAGGTTTGTTTGGTAATCAAAAAATAACTTGTTGAGAGAAAAATTTTTTTATGTAAAATACTTTACAAGACAATTTAATATTTTTCATTGTTTAGATAAACTGTTGAAAACATTTTCTATTGTTTGGATCATTCTATGAAAACTATTTTTCACCATCACTAGTAGAGTTAGTTGGATGTTAAAATGATAAATAGGGGTTGATTACAAAACAATGATACTATTTAGTTCTCATTAATTTCATATCAAAATTAAGAATAGAAATGAAAATAGATAAAATAAGTGCCTTTTTTACTTGGTATATTTTCAGCTTATTTACCTCTTAAAAGCAAAAGTTAACTTAGATAGGATTTTTTAGAAACTCTTAAAAAAATAATTTTTTTTAAAGAACAAAATTTTTTTAAAGAAAAAGTGCTTAAAGAAAAGCTATAGAGATCAGCTTTCTCTTCTTTCTTTTAAAAACACACCAAGTTTTCAAAAAATACCCCTTTCTCTCAATCAACCTCCCTCTCTTCTGCCTCTCTTTGGAAATCACCCTTCTCTAATGCAAATCGTGATCTCTTTCTCCTTTATTTCTTTCTACAAAGACTATTAGAAAAAAGCAAAGGAAGACACATCAACAAAATAGTAAAATTTAAGATTTTTTTATTCTTACAAAGATTAAGGGAAAGATTCAAAATTTAAAGTTGCATTCAAATACTATTTAAAGATTTTCTCTTTTCTTCACCAAAGATTTTAATGTCAAATACATTGTTCCTCTTTTCTCTTCTTTCTTGGAGAATTGAAGCATCGTGATTCAATTGCTTATTACATCAACAAAAATCTAATACTATTATTATTATATAAGTTTAAAAGTTATTCTATTTCTTTATAGATTTGTTTGATTTTAACAACTGAAAATCATATATAAACTTGAAACAGATTTGTTCTACTTTAATTTATTAGATAATTGAATATGATGTGAATACCCTTTATGGTTATTTTATTCAAAATTAGAATTTATATAATTTATTTTGCCAAAAAGCTTACCAAACTAGTTTAACTAGTTTATTAATTTATTACCCTTTTTTTTTCTTACTAGAACAAACTTATGTGGTTTATTAATTGATTTATGTTGAAAGAAAAAAAAATAACGTAAAGATTCATAAAAGAAATTTAGTTAAAAAAATCTGATTCAAAAATGAAAAACAATAATAATCTTATGTAATCTCTCAAACCTTAATCTCAGCACATCCAAATAACATACCAAGCCTCTCTAACATATATATGTATATGTTCAATTTTCAAATAGAAATATAAATGTACAGTGGACAAATTGAAATTGAGAAACTACATAATAGAAAATCAACTTCCATTAATATCTCATCTGCCCTCTTCATGGGAAATTGCAATAAGTATTCAACAAGAAAAGAGAGAGAGAGAGAGAGAGAGAGAGAATCAATAAAAGGAACCTTTCTGCCCCTTTCTTAGTTATTTTCCAGTCTTGATTTATTTGACAAATTTGATTTGATGGTTTGGTCGTAAAAATCCCCTGGCTATCTAGAACACATTGAAATCGATCGGTTTTTCCATGCCTAAACCCCCCACCCAAAGAATCTGAATGCGGTCGCTTCTTGGTAGATTCCCATGCTTTTTTTTCCTTTGATTTAGCCTCTTGTTGCACTGTATTTTTCCTTCCAACCCCTGCTGCATGCCCATGCATGACGTTGAAGGTCAAAGTCTTCCTAACTTAAAACTCCCCCCCAATGGAAAAGTTACAAGCTGGTCAACTCACGCCACGCGCCCACACACCTCATCCCTACGCATGCATATATTTGCATAACATAATTCCATTCACACAGGTTGCTCTCGTCCCCCCGCTTCCGTTTTTTTAACAGCTTTGCTTCATTGCCACTGAGTTTCCAATTCTCCATTCTAAACAGAAAAGTCAAAAATTTTGGCTTTTTTTGGTTGTAGCAGTACCATTATATATAAGCTAAGCCTACGTTATGTGAACTTGAAGCTCGTATTTTGTTAGAATGAGCAAACACCCTGAATATGAGAGGGTGTTTAATCACTTTGATGAGAATGGAGATGGGAAGATATCCCCGGCGGAGCTTCAACAGTGCGTGAAGGCAGTAGGAGGGGAGCTGTCACTTGAAGAGGCAGGGGTGGCGGTGGAGGCCTTGGATTCTGACGGAGATGGATTGTTGGGGTTGGAGGATTTCGTTAGGTTTGTGGAAGAAGTTGGAGAGGAAGAGAAGGTGAAAGATTTGAGAGAAGCTTTCAAGATGTATGAGATGGATGGGTGTGGGTGTATCACACCGAAGAGCTTGAAGAGGATGCTTAGTAGATTAGGAGAGTCCAGGACTATTGAGGAATGTGAATTGATGATTGCTCAGTTTGATCTCAATGGTGATGGAGTCCTCAATTTTGATGAATTTAGAGTCATGATGTTGTGATTTAATTTTCTTTTCTTCTCCTTTTCTCTTTCTTTTTCTTCTTGCACTTGATGGTGATTCATTTCTCAGAGATCAATAATTAATTCTTTATTTATATTGTGGGTTGGTTTCTAATTTTTATCCCAATAGAAACATATTGGAAAATGGATATTGAGATAGAGATTAAGGATCAAGGGGTAACAAAGAATTAATGGAGCTAAAGTCAGATCATACACAAGCAAAATGGGACAAAAAAAATGAAAAATTCATCCCTTTACGTAGTATAAAATCCTTAAGGCAAAAACTAGGCAGGAAGTGTTTCTCTTTTCTTTTTTTTTCTCAAAGTAAAATTTTAATAATATAAAAAAATCGATGCATACTAATAATCTTTGCGACGAGTATCAATCAGAAAAATACATACTAATACGTAAATATAAACCAAAACAAACTATCAAAAAATCTCAAATTACATATCATGTTACCATCAAGCATAAAACATTTCTGTTCTATCAATATTAAATTTAACAAAAGAATCAACAAAGCATCAACTTCTCTAAAGCCAATTACCAAGCTGCTACCATATTTCTCAGTATGACAGTATGCCAATTAACCCAATAATTAGTTTTCTAAAGCCAAGCATTTTGAGTATTCAGAGGGATAGGTATTCACCACACACACATTTGATCTCAAACTTGCTATATTTCAAGTTATAAGATAGCCTTTGCTTTACAGTTGAAAATATTTATAAAGAATTTGCCATCTAAGTTTGCTCTGTTTGTTTTGAACATAAAGTACTCTGACTTTTGAATCAATCTAACAGCATGCCTTATATTATATTTACATTCACACAAGTTGTGTAACATCATGCCATTATAGACCTGGTAGGTGGCATGTTTCATGTTAGTGAGAAAAATTGAAATGAAAGGAATTTGACAAAGTTCTAGAAAAGAAAAGAGAGCTGATGAAGGGTATTAAGTTTATGTTCAGAATTTTAACCCTTAAGAACCACAGCAATAATTTGGATACCAATAATTGGCTTTGTTGCTGAATGACTATCAGTTCTAGGTTAATGCATTTTTCTGGTGTTAGATTTTTCCAAAATCTACAGGCAGGATAGCAGAACTGAATGAAATGGTATGATATAAGCAGTGGTGTAAGATTTTGGCCTTCTATCACCAAGCTAAACATGTAAGACTTTAATTTTTGGGCTAACAAAAAACTCTTTGGTTGACTCATGGTGTAAGAGGAGAAGTCCTCCCCATGTGAAAAAGGAGAGGAGAAGACAGTGTCCGATAAGAATTTTCCTACACTGAGGCATTTGGTCCCTCCCCGCCCTGAAAGCTTTTAATCGTTGACCAGAACTTCTGATATAAAGGTCACTCTCATCATGATGGAGATGGGCTTTACAGGGGTTTTTGTGATCACAACCACCAAAATCTGGGGATGGTTGAATGTGAACCGTGCCACTAAGTGACTAGCCTTCAAAGCGGTTGTTATGGCAGCAGTAACTATAAAATAAGCATCTGGAAAGTGGCAACCTTTTGGTTATAGAATTTCTCTCTTTCTTAATTGATTGATTTGTCTAGTCGCTAATCTTTGACTTGGAGAGTCAAAGCAGCACAGGCTTCAATGAAGCAACAATGAGCCTACGTTAAACAAAAAGCCTCACCATTAGCTTCATATGTAAGTTATAAATTATATATGTTATCTCAGAGGCTTCATCATATCGAGTACTTCTATGATTATTATTTCAGGACTTACAGAGAATACAAGGTAGTAGCCTGCCTTTTTTTGTCCAATTTAGTTTCTTAATTGCATATGTACAGGATCCCATTACCCTTATCAATAGACAAGCGGCTAAGAGCCAAGGACTGCAGAATATTTCGAAGCAGCTCAAAAATAAGAACTAACAGTAGCTAGTTTGGATCCTTAATTGATTATTCACAGATTGGTCGTTGATGCCTTTACCAGAGGTTTGCAAGAGCTTTCACAAATTAACATATGTTCCACTTCCGGTGATTCTTCCACCAATCTTGATAACTTCCCAACAATCTCTCCAGCACTCGGTCTCAAAGAGGGGTCTTCTTCTGTGCAAGCTCTAGCAAGATTTGCCAATGTGACAGCTTCATCAAATGAGTAATTCTCCCCTAATGCACTGTCCATCCATTCCCTTAGCTCCTCTGCGCTCTCTGACTGCAATACGGCCTTGATTTTCTCTGAAAGCCAAATATTCCCTCCTCCCTTCTTATCAGGTCTGCTTATTGGTGTTTGCCCGGATAACATCTCAAGCAAAACTATCCCATAAGCAAAAACGTCAATACCTGGGGAAATCACACCTTGGTGAAGATATTCAGGAGCCAGGTAACCCAGGCTCCAAGTGGCAGGGTTAGTTGAAAGATCAGGATACTCGGTATCATCTTCAACACACCTTGCCATGCCAAAGTTCCCAATCTTTGCATTGAAATCTTCATCCAGGAAGATATTTCTGCTCTTGACATTTCTATGAACATAGCTTGGATTCATTATCTGGTGCATATATTGTAAAGCAACTGCTACATCAAGACTGATCCCCAGCCTCTGCTTCCATGTCAAAAAGCAATAACAGGAGGCTATGAACTGGTTTTTCATTGCCAACCCACCATGTAGCCAATCCTTCAGGGAGCCATTTTTAGCATATTCGAAGACCAAAAATGAATTAGAGACCTCAGTCACACAAGTTCCCAGCAGTCTAATTATGTTTGGGTGCTGGTGAGTTGCATCGTTAAAGAATCTAAGCTCAACCTTCGAAATATTTTCTGTTCTTGTGCGCCTTATTGCCAAGTTTTTCCCATTGAGACGACCATGATACACGCTTCCCTCGATCTGATTACTCGGATTGAAGTCCTCTGTAGCTTTTCTCAGCTCCTCTATGGTGTACATCTCCATTAGCGCCTTACAGGGAGTACTACTGTCAATGATCTGACCATCTAGAGCATCCTGAGATCCCTCAAAAGAGACTTTCTTCTCACTTGCAGTTCTTATGCTTAAACTAAGCTGCTGCAGTTCCACATCTACATCTTTTCTTGAATTTTGCTTCTTCTTCCGCTTCAATTGGATCACCAAGAAGGTTGCTGCAACAGCAATGATAGCTCCAACTACAACCCCACTTAATGCAATATAAACTCCGACTTTCCACATCCTTGACTTTTTCTTGTGCGGATTAATTACTGGGATCCTGGTTTCTGGAAAATGCAGATTAGGCTCACTAGGTTTTGCTAGTGAACCAAGAAGAGGCTCACCATTGAGTGGAATGAGAAGAGATGTAAGAGGGATTAAACTTTCAGGTTTGAAGGCCCCTAAGAATCTGTTATTTTCTGATATTATAGCTTCTGAAGTTGTATTGAAGGCAATAGCCAAGTTAGAAATTGTATCACCTTGACTTACTGGATAAGAAAGTAGGTGCCTTGCTTCCAGAGTGCCTTCAGATGCAGATGCAGATGGACATGCGCATCTTAATGGTATCAGCAACCGGACTTTGTCATTAAGACCCCATGGCGAGACACCAGGATTCTTCTCTCGGATGGCTTTGCAGGTTGTCAAGCCTTCCAATGACTCAGCAATACCATAAAAGCTCTCCCTTTTGATTGTAGTTTTTGTTAAATCAGCCTGGAAGAAACCATTGTTGCATTTACAATCAATTGGCACCAACAAAGGCTGCTCTCTTGGCAGAAACTCTGTTTGTGCAGAGAAACCATTAGCTTCAGCAATTTTAAACCGGTTGAGGCCTAAATAAAAGCTCAAGTTGGAAAGAGATGAGTAGTGTGAATTAGTCCGGATCACTGCAAAAGTGCCACATATTTCCTCTGATCCATTTACACTGCAACGGTACCCAGAAGCATCCGGAGATGTAGTTTCACAGCTCAGCAAGTTCTGTCCAAGTGAAGAGACAAGTAGAGAGAACCCTAAGACCAAAGCTCTCAAGTAAAGCTCACTGATCACAGATGCCATGCCAATAACCAACCAGTTCAACATAACAGACCAATTAAAAAAAAGAGCACACTTCGAGAGAGTGAATATTTTGGATCCATACACACAAAAATATAAAAAAAAATGGTGTTAAAATAAGAGCTTTTTCTGCTTTTTCCTCTAAAGCCTTTCAAGGACAGGATTCTTGGGGATGACAAAGATGTTGTATATTTTTATCCGGTTCCAGCTGTTTGTAACCACCTAGCCTTGGGCTTTGATTCCACTGACTAGGGGGTGGCTCTCTATCCCCAAGTTTTCAGTTGCCGGTGCTTGGAGCCACCACTCTCAACTACTTTAAAGAACTCATGGGGCTTCAAACCTGCTTTTATATGCTGAAAAATATGCATACAAGCCCATCATACATGTGCTCTGACAGGACATACATATAATCTGTTCCTTATCGAGATATAGGTAGAATTTGGGAGATGCTTTCTGATATTTTTAATCCAATCACTTGAATGCCATGGGTAGATCATGGACATACAAAAACCATTATCTACATTTATGGTCCTCAAGTTTTGAACAAAGTTGCTTAGAATTCATGGACCGAGAACTGGAGTGCACAACATTACTTGTCTGAATGTGACAGTGAGTGCCAAACTTGGATAAATTTTCACTTGTAAACCGTTTTTTATAAGAAAACATGTGCAGCTAATGTGCCAAATTCAACCCCAGATGGGATTTTTCTGCACTGTTGAGATTGCTTTTGTTGCCCTTTATCAGAAACAATTCGATATTGGAAATCGCATCCATTTTATGTAGCCATTAACACAATAGCATCTGCCAATTCTGTTTAACTATAATTTGGAGCATTATTGCGTATTTGTCGATATTGTACCTAGAAAATTTGAAGCTTAGTACTCTTGAGGGACTTTGGTTTGTGGACAAAAGATAGATAGGTCTGCATTGCAGAAATCTGTCTCATCAACCCCGGATGGAACCAGGAAAAAGGGAAAAGGAAAACCTGGAAAAAATGAAGGTACATAAAGCATATGCACAAACACATGCATGCATTGGCTGGTTCGTAGACATTCCTGCCCTACCATAACAAAGAATTGGGTAAGGTCGAATTTAGGGG